CCCGGGAAGCGGCCGTGGGCGGCGAAGGGGCAGGTGCTGTTGTGAAACCGGGTTGCAGGTCCCTGCACGAGGCTCCGTGGGGACGCCCGGCGCTTCCTCGGGATGCAGCGGCGCCGGAGCATCCAGCTCCCTGCAGCCGGGTTGGTTGTGCCATTCACATGTGTCCCCCCACCCCAACATAGGGCCCGGTGCCTTCAAAAAACTGCTTTCAGGCTAAAAATATGTTATCTCTCTGTATCTCTCTTTTTTTTTGCATTTCCTCTAGTTTAGCCACTTTCACTATTAGCCAGGACAGATTCAAATCACACCCGAGTGGCATTTACAGAGTAAAAAACCTCTTTTCCCCCCTGCTTATCGCGCACATCTCTAATCTGCAGATCTGTTTACGCACCCCGAGCGTTTCACGGAGCAGAGCTCGGCGAGGGCAGAGAGGCGCTTACAAATAAATAAATACATAAGGTTAAAAATAGCCAGCACCTGCATCTCCCACGAAAACAGAGGTGCCAGGCTGAGCTTTGCGCTGCTTTGAGATTTATTTATTTACTCATCACTGTGCTTATTTGGACGCCTGCAGGTGCCGGGCACAGGGTCCATCCAAGGTGCTGCTGTGATGCCGGCTTTGCCGCCTTGCGCTGGCTGGATACGTGCAGCCTTGCTGGAATTCCCTGGGAATGCTCATCCCGGAGCCGGCAGCATGGCCGGGCGCCCGCGGGATCGCGCCGAGCAGGTGGGTTTGCTCTTAAAATGAATCCTCTTAAAAAGAACCATCCCGATCCGGGTGGTGCTTTGGGACCAAGAGCGCCGGGCGCTGAAGGTCTCACCCGCTCACAAGCTGCCGGCTGCTTTGATGGTTGTTTTTCCAGCGCCGTTTCCCGGCATTCCCGGGAAGGGCTTCGGAGGGGCCTTTTCCAGCAGGCAGGATGGAGGGAGCCATTTGGGACCCTGATTCCCGCCGCTCTCCGCTCGCATCGGCCAGTTGGGCCCCTCCTTCCCGCGCGTTTCCGGCCCCTGAAGCACCACAGATTTTACCCTATTTGGCTCGTTTCTCTCTACCCTAATTTGTTGGGGTTTCTTTTACCCAGTTTGGCTTGTTTTTTCCCTCTTTGGCTGTTTTTTAACCCAATTTTGCCTTTTTATCCATATTTAGCCCTTTTTTACCTGATCTGGCTGTGGAGCGCCCCATGTTCCTTGCCCCGCTCCGGGCCCGCTGGCGGCCGTGCCGTGTCCAGGAGGAGGAGGTGGACGAGGAGACCACGAGGACATCCAAGTTTCCAAGAAAAGCAAAACAAAACCAGACTTTTGCCAGGTAAAACGCCCGGGAAAGCCCAAGCCGAGCCGTCCATTGAACGGGTGCGGGGAGGGCCAGCGGGATCAGCATCGTCCAAGCCGGTCCTGCAGTTTTCCTTGGCATTGGGCGTACGCTGCTTGACTTTGCAATCCAGCATTGGGCCAAGACAGAGCTCCCCGAAGCCTTGATCCATCCAGGAAAATTGCTGGAGAGGAGGCTGGTGTCCCAGGAGAGGCGCCGGTATCACAAAGCCAACGGCGCGAGTGCCGGCAGCGCCTTGCGATCCGGTGCCTTCGCAGGAGAAATCCCCACGCACACGTGCACTTAATCAACTCCATCTCGCTCTAACCCCCCTAAAGCAAAGAAGCCGCCTGCGACTGATATTTGGATACGGGTCTTATTTTGCAATTTCCTTTCGAGCCGCTCGCGCCTCTGATAGGCATCTGCTGCTGCAGCATCTCCCGCGCCGCCGTCGGAAATGAGCCAGTCGCGAGGGGCAGCCGGCTAGGGAGGATATTCGGGGACTTATCAGCGCCGTAAGGGAGGGGAAAGGCTGCGGCGAGACATGGACGTGTAGCCTGGCAGCAGCCAGACTGTCTGGGTAAGTGGAATTTCGCAGGAGACCGGTGAGATTATCCGCAAAGCTTTTGATGAAATGCTCTTAGCAAGCTGTCAGAGGGGAGAATGTATAATCTGATCCATAGGCTGGATAATGTCTTTGCTCTTATTATCTATCTAGCTATCAAAGATGCTATTAAGGCGCCTTTAATCAGGATATCAAAGCTTTGGTTCAGGATACGTCCCTGCGGCGGAGCACAGGGGCTGCCGGCGCCTTCCTGCACGTTGGGGCTCACAAAAAGCAGGCGACGGGATCACGAAGTCGATTCCCTTCACTGGGACGGCCAAGAGCTTCGAGCTGGATGCTCCCCTTCCTGCACATGTATTTTTTGACTATGTGCCTTAAGGCCTGTTAACTTCAGTGGGATTTCAGTCACTCAAATTGAATACGAGGCGGCTCAAATGCAGTTAAACCTCCCCAAGCTCTTGGTTTTCAGTGGGGTTTGGGATGCCATTTGATCGGCCACGCTAAAATATCCATCCAAAGAGCTGGGATGAGCTGAGGCCCGTCTAGTGTTCGGTTAATGATAATTATGATTAATAAAGAGCAAAAGCAGCTGATTTCCAAGGCCACCCCGAGTCCTGGCACATCTGGACCGCAGTCAAAGCAAAAGCTCCTCTCCGAACTCGCTGCCTGCTTTGGCTTATGTGTTTCTGGGGAGGTTATTGCTATAATCATCAGTTTTTTTAATATATTATCAAAATTAAAGCACAGAGAACACATCTGAGCCATTTTCCAACACCGCCGTGGAGCTCGTGTGACCGAGGGGCAC